AAAATTTTGAGAAAATAGCAATTGTTTTTAAGAAAAATTTGGTACAAGTGATCGTCAGGAAGAGTTAGTGATTTGCGATTACCAAAAATAGTATTGGTATTGGTATTGCATATAAAAATTTAATTTTTTTATTCATTTTTACTTAAGATTGCTCTGTAATTATTTCCATTTCCGTTTACAAAATTTATACAGTGCACGAATCCTTAAATCAACAAATAAAATATATAATCTTTAAAAGTTTATAAAAAAAAACCAAAATAATAATGAATCAAATCTCTTTATAAAATAATAAAATCGGACCCGTGGGTCGATAGCGCAGTGCTTAGCGCTCCTGGGTCACAATCGTAAGGTCGCAAGTTCGAGTTTCACTGGGTGACGAATGGCTCTGCCAGAACCACGATTGGCTAAGATCTTTGGAGGATTTTCCATTAAAAAAAAAAAATAAAGAACAAGACTCGTACAAGTTGCAGTCCGCCGGCATAGCCACGGTGGCCGGGGACAACCAGATAAGGCGTAATCCGTCAACAAACGACGCTAAAATTGAGAAAAACCCAGCTTAAGGATATATAAAAGGACGATCCGGCTTGTGGGTCATGTGAAGTTAGGGAACTGCGGATCTAGAGAACGTAGATCCTACACCGCGGCACCAGGGACCCAGGACGTCATATGACGTACTTAACGGAGCATGAGTTATCTCACCAGTACGGTGACATATAGGTGGCCAATTCGCCATACCGGTGATCTCCGCAGATACGAAAACTCTGGCCTTTGAGAGATGTGAGAGATCTGAAGGTGTCTAAGGACCTTCGAGATGCGGAGGGAGGTAAAAAAAAAAAAAAAAAAAATAATAAAATCAAACCTAAAAAACAAAGTTATGATTTTATTTTTTTAAATAATTAAAATTTTATTGTGTAATATCTTTTCTAAGTTGCCCGACTTTACTAATTAAAGTAAAAATTTGGCCGCTCACATAATACTAAAATAAGGCCTCCTATTGGTCTAATTATGCAATATTTAATATGATTAGTTGATTAGTTGTAAGAATATATCGGTTAATCAATAAACCTTATCATTATCATTATGCAGATTATGATAGTTTATGCATAATCTTATTGTTGAATCTGTAATAATTAACAGATAGTGTATATAATATGTTAGATAATGTAGTGTAATATAAAGTCTAATATAACAGACTAAACAATAACTTATTGTGTCGATAATGCAATAGCACAATAAATAGAGGTTCGATCTGAAAGATCAAACACACTTTAGAATTTTCTTGTAAATAACTAGTTACAAAATAAACTGTACTGTGCCATCAGTAGTGTGTTGGTAGTGATGAACATTTAGAAGGTGTAGACTGGCGGAATTATGAGTAGATAAAGTTATAATAAAGAAAAGTTAGTGCATAAACTAAATATACAAACTGTCAGGCAGTTTGGATGTAAAGCATAATATATTCATTAACCCTACGACAATAATGCATTAATTATATAATCAGTTGATAATAAAATAAAAATTCTCAAATTACCAAAATAAATCTTTTAACGTTAATTCCAAAAATTATTATATAGAAATGATAGGAAAAATATCGCCAATATCAAGTTAAAGTGCAAACGATGAAATCAAATGTTATATATGGCCTGATAAGATGAATGAATAAGAAAAGCCAAGGCCAGTTTTTATGAGCAAATGCTTATTACAAACCTGTTTAACATTTAATAAAGAATTAGCAAATAATAGGATAGAAGAGAGGGAAAAAAAGGGTAATCAAATGTGTAAGAAAAAGAAACATAATTGTGCCTATCTAAGAATAGTATAATATGAATATTTGGCATGTTAATGCCTGTCAAAACTCATTAAATCATTTATTTTGTGGTGGAAAAATCTATTGTATTTCAAAAGATCGGTTTCATATCATTACGCCTGTTAATAGTTTACTTAATTTGTTAACATGATAAAATATAAAAGGTATAAATTTCTGACAAAGGATCTATCTTATTTTGCAGTTATTTCTGAAGTAATAATGTGTAACAAAAAAAAAAAAAGAGAGAAATAAAAAAAAAAGAAAAAAAAAAGTAAATAATAAAATATAATTAATTTTACAAAAAGATAAATTAAAGCTCTTGTTAATATGAAAAGCTAGTATTTAATTATCAACTGACTTCACAATATCAACCTTGTTATTAGGTATATAGCATCATACAAGAATGGCATAATTATCTAAAAGAAAGACCCATTTATGAAAGATTTATATGCAGAAAACATCTAAGAACCAGCATCAGACAGATGTTTCAGAAACTTGTAGCAGTAATGGTGATAAATTTAATGACAAGTTTAATAACATTGAAGATAGTGATACAAAAACTTGTAGCAGTAATGGTAATGAATTTAATAATGAATTTGAGGATGAAGATACAGAAATAAGTATTGTCAGAGATGAAGATGCAAATAACATTATTACAAAACTATTACAAGCAGTTCCAGAAGTAACTACTTATTAATCACTTGTATATGTTAGAAATTCTGAGAGAACAAAATGACAACAAAGACAACTACAGTGAAAAGCTGCAATTGGAACACCCAAGTTAGAATCATTTTGGACACCAGTAAGTTATTAGTTAATATTTTTTTTTTTTTTTGGCATGAATTAAATTAATTTAAATTGCTTTAATTTATCTTTTGTAAAAAAGGGAGTAAGTGCAGATATAAATAATAATACAATTGATTCAGATAGTAACTCTGAGAGTGAATTTGAAGTTGAGGTTGATAAAGGTCACAGTATGTCTTCTGAGATGTTGGGTGCTGTTATTAAACAATTGAAAAAGAAGTCAAAAATAATAAGCATGAGGAGGTAGAAAAAGCCCACCTTCATACTATGTTATCTTATCTTCGTCTTGTAAAGCGTGGCTGATAAAGAGTCGAAGCAAGCATTATTGTAGCAGAGGCAGCTGGGAGGAGTGCTTATCATGCTTGTTGCATATGTGCATGTGCAGTAAATTATGTTCAAAATGGTACAATTCTGATTTCAAGACAGGGCAAACACCCAAAAACCTGGAGTTTCTTGTAGGATGAAGATATTTTGATGCAAGTTACGTCCTTTCTTTTATCAAACAAATGGAGTATAAATCCAAGTGAACTAGCAAAGCACATGAATGAAAGAGTAATTCTAAGTCTTTGCTTCGATCCATCACCAACAATGTGTATAAGAACTGCTAAAAAGTAGTTAGTAATATTTGAGTTTGAATATTCGCTAGTTAGAAAAGGAATGTATATGGACAGTCATCAGCACGCAGATGTGATAGCTTATCGTGAAAGATTTTTGGAGAGAATGTTAAAATATGAAATGCATATAATAGTATTTTCTGGTGAAAATATAGAACAAGAAACTCAGCCAGATTTTCATATAATTTTGGTAATACATGATGAGTGCACCTTCTCAGTATATGATGGAAAGCATTGGTTATGGATGCCAAAAAGGGAGCAACTACTTTGTAAAAAAGGCCAAGGGTGGTTAGTTTATATAAGTGAATTTCTCACTGACATTAGTGGACATTTAGTATTGCATGAAGAAGATAAGGTATATATTTAACTCTTAGGCTTCACTTTTTTATAATTAAAAAATTATAATTGAGATCTGTTTTTAGGCTACTTTTCCTAATCTTCTATTAGAAGCATGTATTACAACTTATCTGAGTAAAGATGGTGATAAATGGTGGAACTCAGATGATCTTGTAAATCAAGTAGTGAATTGTGCAATTCCAATATTTGAAGCATGATTTCCAGATGCAAGAGCTCTTTTTGTATTTGATAATGCAACCAGTCATTATGCATACACTGAGAATGCACTTTTAGCAAAGAGAATAAATTTATCTTCTGGTAGAAATCAGCCAAAAATGAGGTTCGTATATTATTTAAACTTTTTTTTTTTTTTTTTTTTTCTTTGACAACCTTGTTGGTGATCCTTTATTAAGATTATTATATAAATATATTACATAATGTTGAGCTTAATATCTAG